TCGTAGAGGGGTTCACCAGGCTTTTGATTAATCCCTGCAAGGGGGGATTCGGTAGGCCCCTCATCCAATTTTCTCCAAGCATTTAATCCTATGACCCTGACCTGTTCTGTATATGGGGCTGGAATGCCTGACTGTTGCTCCCCCATGGCATAACGGTCACTTGAACAAGTCAATATCCCAAAAGTAATGGGGACCGGTGGATTGGCACTTGCATTCCTCTCAGCCTGTATCCTGCATTCCTCCTTAAAAAGGGCACACCATTTAATATATATAGTGCTAGGAAGGACTGCTTTGGCGAGGTCCAGCCAATCCTTTGTAGTACACTGCAGATGAGCCAAGCCTTGGAGGAGAGTATCTACCCAGGGTGATGCCAGGCCATCCTCAGGCACCGCCTTTTTTAATTCCTTTAAATCCTTTGCCTCCCAGGGATACCAGGGGTCAGGGCGAGCACCTCCTGGATTTATATTAATAGGATACCCTTCCGCTCGTGACCTCACAGAAGCCTCCTGAGCAGGGCCAGGATCCTGAAAATGGAGACAGTTTTCATGGGTTTCAGGAAGCCCTGAAGCTGGCCAGGGCAAGCCCGAGGTGCCGCTTGTTACTTTGGCTGCTTTTTTTATGTTGCATTTCTGCATTCTTCCTCAAACTCTTTCCATGATTCCCATGCCAGAGTTTCTGAAGGCTCGACAGGAGGTGGTGCCGAGGGCTTAGGGCTCTTGGGCCCAAAGCATGCCTTTAAGGGTGAAATAATAGGGTAGAACTCCAATGGTGGGTCAACCCCCAATTGAACCTCCCTTTATCGAGCTAGATGTTCCACATGTTCCCATGTATCCACAGTAAAAACATTAGCCCCAAGTAGCCAGTAAGCCAAATGAACAGCCTCTGCCCAAACCTTTTGAGCTATACCATATCTGACAGATCGAATCCCCTGCTTTTAAGCATATCTCTCAGTGCTTTAAGCATCGGGTCCTCAGGCTTATTGGTTGCATTACCCATCTTTCAGGTCTCACCCCGAACTTCTCGATTGGCCCCAATCTGTTATGTTTCTTTCTTTCTTTTCTTCTTTTCACCTTCCTTTGAGCGCCACGCTGGGCGCCAGTTGCGAGGGGTTTGAGCCAGTGACCCCCCTGTGCAGTGATGATTAGGGATGAGTAAGCATGCCATTCGCCAGCCCATGCCGCCCCTGGTATCAGGAACACTCAGACGCAGCGGGGGAGCCTAGTCAAGCAGGGACTCATTTATTGCAGGTGTTACAGAGCTTATAAAGGCACTTGGAAATCCCCCTTTCCCCCCTGAGGGTGTATCTTAACGATGGTCACACACTGATCATGCACTCCTCAGCAGTGTGGAAGTATCCTTCAGACTTTCAAAGCAAATCAGGCCATGCCCCATTAACTTCCTCTTGGACTTCTGCAAGGTGGGCCCTTTAGGTCCCCACAAATAAACACTTTCCCATCTGAACTATCTCCCTAGCCCCACAAACATGTTTTTAGTTTCATCATTGAGAGTTTCATAATGCCACTTGATAAACCATTATTTCCACCAGTAGAATCCCATATCTCAGATTCAAGATGTTAATTAACCAAGAGCAATTGCTTCCTGATTAGAATCCACACTCGCATTCTTCTTAGTAATTTAGCTGACACTCCCCTTCCCAGCATGTCAGCATGGGAGATTTCCACTGCAACAACACTGGTCTTGGACTTAAGCTTGTGTCTTGTTTTTTTCTTCTCTGTGTGAGTCTCTGAGATGTTAAAACAACATCTTAGGTGATCATATGCAGTAGTATTTGGGCTTATCTTGCCTGCAAACATGATTTTATTTAGGAGACTACATATCCTAAAACTCTATAGGTATTTCTCTACCATAAATATGCCAAGTTATTTTCTAGGGTGTATCATATATCTATGGCAGGCTGTAAATAGAGGAAACAAACACTCAGGCTTATTGCTTCTGGATTGTTATTATGTATGTCACTGATTTTGGATTAGCATATGCCTTGTATTCTTCCCAGTGACAGAGAGTGAGGCATAAAGGAGAACCCTGTTCTGTTAAGGAAGCAAGATCCCAGTTCTGTTGGGGAAGCAGGTCTTCACTACTTGATAGTATATTGTATGGGGGTCAGAATAGGAATACTCTAACTTTTAAAAACTAGATAGATATTTTTAATAATTCTGCATCCTATATAACAATCCATGATTATCTCAAATACATGATAGAAAGCTTTCTTTTATACTCTGAAAGCCCATTATGCATTTAATGAGGCTCAGTCAAGTATTCATTTGGCGTGGTCTATTAAACATCTATTTTATGCAATCTGTATAAATTATGACAATAAACCTAATTATTCCAATTTATAAAACATTTTTCAAGTTTCTGCACAGTACTAGGTTGGCAAAGATTTCAAAACCACCATTTGATACGAAAAAGGATTCAACCTTTGGATACCAATCACAAATTCCTTTATTCAGAAAGTAGGAAAAAATCCTACAGTTAAATAACTGTATCGGGAAAAACATATGCGTATTTAGTTGATATTATTTCCCCAAACTTCTTCTCTCCTTCCCTTTCTCCTTCTTTACTTCCCCCTCCTTCATTCTCTCCTTTCTTCCACCTTCTTTTCTCCTTCCCTTTCTGACAATGTCTCCCTATGTAGTTCACTTGGCCTTGAACTCACCATCCTCCTGCTTCAGTCTATAGACTACTTGGATTATAGGCATGTGTAACCCTGCTCACTCCTCAGAACCTACTTTAGGAGGCATGAATACTGGCAACCACTGTATATAGACACACAGACACACACAGACACACACACATGCGTGCACACATGTGAACATGTACACACTCATTAGGATACCCCCATGAAATAAAATATTTTCACACAAACTCCCACAAAATGTGTGAGAAAGATGTCTTTGTGTATCTCTCAGGAAATCAATTAACCTGCATCCATAATCAAATTGCACAGATAATTCTCAGTATTCTAAAAGTGTGAGAGTGAGAAATGACACTATCTAAAAATCTATCTATTAATAAAAATTTTTACAGATGACTGAAATGACTTTCTACAAACATAATCATAATTGCAGTAACACCATCAAACTAAAACTATTATGTGAAAGTCTATGTTTGTTTTGGTTGGGGAAGATAGAATCTCATAAAATACCAGACTGGTCTTTTTTAAAAATATTTTATTTTATTATCTTCATTTTATGTGTGTGAATATATTGCCTGAATGTGTAAAAGTGCACCTGTGTCATCCAGTGCCCATGGAAGTCAGAAGAGGACATCAGAATCTCTGGACTTGGAGTTATGGACAGTTGCTAGCTGCCATGTGACTAGAACCCAGGTCCTCTGCAAGAGCAGTCAGTGCTCTTAACTACTGAGCTGTCTCTCCAGAAGATTCCCCCCACCCCCACTGTTCTTAAACTCATAATCCTCCTCCCTCTAACCCTTCCAAAGGCTGGGTTTATAGGTATGCATCACGGCCAAGCTGATGGGGTGAAATTCAAGATGAATAGTGCATCATATTAGTTTTACATACTGCTACAGATTATAAACTATTTATAGGAATTAAAATTGTAATTTTTTGGTAGAAAAAACTAGTTTGTGCCTCCTTAGTGAGCATCCATAATGAATGTCACTGATGTTGATGCAAGCAGCCATGCTTTCTTGTCATGAGGCATACACACACTAATTCTGCATAAAATGCACAGTATAAACACATATCTAGGAAACAACTGACACGGTCATGTTGAAGGACAGTTTATAAAATAATAGGTCTATTATCTTCAAAAAGGTCAGTGTCATGTTAGAAAAAGAAAGGCAGAATGAGAATTCTAAATTAAAAGATACTGAGGAGAGTTCACAAGCAATGGAATCCCAGAATGTGATGATTTCCATAAAAGGCATTATTGGGATATCTGATAGATGTCTGATTACATATTTATTTATTATTTAATGTGGCACATGTATATTTGTGTGTATGCAAGTGTGTAAATGCGTATATGCAAGCCAGAGGCTGATGTCAGGTGTTATCCTCAATGGGTTCTTCATCTTATTTTTCTGAGACAGGGTCTCTCATGGAAGCTGGATCTCATTAATCGGCTGGCCTGGCTGGCCAGCAAGCCCCAGGGATCCTCCCATCTCCAGCTCCTCTGCAATGGGACTGCAGGCACATATCATGTTGCCAGCTTTCCTCTTGGGTACTGGTGTTCCAAATTCACATCCTGATGTTTGTATAGCAAGCATGTTATCAAGTAAGCCATTTCCCCAGGCAACTGATAGATACTTGAAATAAATTGTGCATTTTGTAATATTTTATCACTACTAACACTACTAAATGAAACAAAACTAGTGTACACATGCACAGACATACACATATACAAATTACATAATTAAAATGATAAAAGCAAAAGGCAGAAAAGTTATTTTAAGAAAAGCCTTGCAGGGCTGGGGAGATGGTTCAGTGAGTGAGTAAGAGTTCTTGCTGAACTAGCATAAAGACTTGATTTTGCATTTTAAGTACTATGTAAAAAAACAGGTTAGTATGTCTGGGCACACCTTTAACTCTAGCACTGTGGTGAGGTGGAGGTGAGACAGGATTGCTGGGGTTTACTGGCCAGCATCCTAGCACTAGGCTCAGTAAGAGACCCTGTCTAAAGGGAATAAGGTTTGGAGTGATAGAGAAGGACACCGGACATCTTCCTGTGGCTTCCTTAAACATGTGCACAGGTGTATGTACCTACGCACACACATACGTACATCATTCCCACAAAAAGTTGCAAACTGAGAAATAAAACGACATAAGAGAGCACAAATTTAAAATTGTGATGACTGTTTTTTTCTCTAGTCTGTCTTATTTTATTTATGTTCCTTTACTGTGGCAAACACTTTTTTACTGAAAGAAAATGATCATTTTTTTATTCTACAAATTTCCATGTGTTCTTTAATCATTTTCTTTACCATAGTCAAAAAACTATCTGCAGGAAATGATACTTTCATGAACCACAATATTTGTGGGAGATGTGCACCCTCTCAGGACAGCAACAGAATGCTTTCTCAAAGTCAAATGCCTCAGGTGCAAGTGGTGGTGCCTGACAGTCTTTGGCTTGCCCTAGTGTCATCAAGGTCACTTATGACTCAATCCCCAGGGGGAGTTCCTGGCTCATGGCTACCTTGGCTTTAAAGGTCTTCTCACTCTTTGCACACGAGCTCTCTGCTCAGATGAGGGGCTTTTCCATGCTCAGTGGATATATAGTCTTTCCATGTAATGGTGTTCTGAGGAGGAGGGGTAAGGGACTGTCTTCTAACCAGCTTGAAGTTCTGCTCCATGATGTTCCCGCCCTTGCTGAGATGCTCCATGATGGCCTTGTTCTGAAGGATGCCCTCCTCGCTGAAGCGTTCTCTCCTCTTCCTGGACTCTAGCACAAGTCCATTCACCAGATAAAAGTCTGCCAAAAAGTTTCCTACTCTTTCTGTTTTATCTTCCCAACAAAGCCATCCAGTTTGGGCATGTGTGAAAGAAATTGATTTGGTTGATAAATTTTCAGAATAAATATCACTGCTTATTAAAATGTCAACCTCCTCTTCTGTTTCCATCTCTGATTCCTCGTGGTGCATTCGCTGATAAACTCTGTTTGTTGCCTAATACTACAAAGGACTCAGAGGGCACAGCATCCCCATTGAAAATGAACCTTAAATGCCTTCCTTGGCACTTCATGTCAGTAAAATCTATGACAGTTGTGTCAAGCCTGATGTTGATGACTTGCTTATATATCTTACACGCATCAGAAGGCAAACACTCTTTTAAATGCCCATATTTTCGCATCAGAAGGCAAACACTCTTTTAAATGCCCATATATTTGCTCCTATGTCCTGAGTTATTTCTTAGGTGGTTCATATAACTTAGGAAGTTTCACACAGGATGCAAGTTAATCACATGTTCTTGACAGCTCTCTTACTCTCTCTTGCTCTGCTTTCTATCCAACAAGCCTCGGGTTTCACACAGCATCAAACCATGGGTTTCAGACAGCATCAAACCTTGGGTTTCACACAACATCAAACCGTGGGTTTCACACAGCATCAAACCGTGGGTTTCACACAGCATCAGCTTGGTGTCTTTATTCAGTGTCTATTCACAGTCTGCATTTTTCGCATTGCTTGTAGTGAGGCTGCTTGAACCATGGTTACCTCTTGTAACTTAGCAAACATCTGAAATTAGGCAGCTCATTCTTTCTAGGGGCATATTGTGAGACAATCAGCTTTCTTTACCAGCTCTCTTGCTGAGGTGATAGGGATTAGTTGCTGTAAACACAGAGCAGAAAATATCTGTTCCCCCAAAAGACAAAGTTTAAGATGCATGAATGATTCCTCTCACTTTTCTCACAGCCATTTTCAGTTTCTCTCTGAGCCTTTAAGATGCAAAACCTTGAACAGCATGTCTTCTTTCCCCTTTCAGCAGCTCTTAAAAGTATTTTAGTCCCTGTATTGAAATCCAGAAGAAAATACATCTTCTTCCCACATATTAATTCAGCAATGTGTATTCAGAAAGAATATGACTGCAAGTTACATTTTCCTGGAAAGGGGACCTCGTTCCCCCCTCCCTCCTTCCCCTCTCCAACCTGGGTCCTCTGTAAGAGCAATTAGTACTCTTAACTGCTGAGCCATCTCTCCAGCCTGATTTCTTTCTTCCCCCTCCCTCCCTCCTTCCTTCCCCCCTTCCCTCCCTCCCTCCCTTCCTTTCTTCCCTCCCTCCTTCCTTCCTTCTTTTTCATACAGGGTCCCTTGTATTCCAAGCTGGCCTCCAATACAGTGGAGGATGACTTTGGACTTTTGAACATCCTGTCCCTAACTTCCTGAGTGCTGGGATTACAGGAATGCCCTATTGTGCTGTTTGTGGGTGCTGGGAATTGAACCTAAGGCTTCATGCATGCTAGGCCCCGGCTACAGCTACATCTACTGGCTGAGCTACATCTAACTTTTGAAGCTTAGAGGAGCAGAAACTATAAAACTTTTATGCATGTGGCTGTGGTTACCTAATGCCTTATGCAAAATTAACCACTTACACTGTTTTAAATATTCTGAGCAGTTTTTATACTGATTAAAGCTGGGAGGTTATAATAAAAGAACTTAGCCAGTACTGCTATAGGAAATGTTTTCATGCCAACAGTGACCTGGTATTCTTATCGTTTCCTGGTGTATCATGCTGCTATGAAGTCAGTATCACCAAAAGAGATGTGCTCTTTAGCAATGGGGGATTTTGTTACCCTGCTTTTGCTGCAGAGTTGTAAAGCAGATTTAGTCAGTCCTACTGTGCCTCTTTTCTATCACAGTCATTGCATGGGAGTTTCCCTTTGGCTGCACTTCTCTTTGAAGCATCTTGAATTTATAAGTATACAGTAGTTTGCAGCTATTATATTTGGACAGCGAAAGGCTTAGACATCAGGCTTTGTTGGGAATAAAGAAGTTCTTTGGAGTGAAGGTGATCACGTACAAACCTTCCATAAAGTTTGTGACAAAAATCCATGGCTTTGATGCAGTCAGTCCTGGTTTCAACAACAAACACCACAAGTAATTGTGGCCTTATCCCAAAGCTCCAGATATATTTGAACTTTGGCATATCTAGTACCACATTTGCTTGCCTAAATGTTGGTCGAAGGGCTGGATGAAATTCCCAGGAGTTATCCTATCTCTAGAAATATGTGATGGCAGCCATTAAAGTCTGAAGACAATGAGGTTTTGGGCCCAGACAAAGACAAGGAGGGTTTTCCAGGTGTGTGTTTTCTTCCATTTTTACAATATGACTTTCTTCTTATTCATTCAGAATCATTCCAAGTTTTTCTTACTTTACTGGGTAAAAATTCACCATGTAAAAACTAAAGAGTTAATTCCAGTATTGAAAACGTGAATACTTCTAATGACTGGAAAGAAAATTCTTTAAAAAATACTTTATGCATTATTTATCTTTTTATGTGTATGAGTGTATTGCCTGCAGGGATGTAAGTGTACCCATGTCATGCAATGCCCACGAAAGTCAGAAGAGGGCGTTGGAGTCCTCTGGAACTGGAGTTATGGATGGTTGTTAGCCATCATGTGGGTCCTGAGAATTGAACCTGGGTCTTCTGCAAGAACAGCCAGTGTTCTTAACTGCTGAGCCATCTCTCCAGCCCTGAGGAAAGCAAATTCTTCACAAGCCAGGTGACATCTGGTTTTTGGTATCAATATATTGACAGGTTATTTAAATGATTTTAGTGGTAGAACACTATGGGATTTTTAAAAATTAGTTTGGAAGGAATTCAAGAAATAGATTAATATTCTACACTAAAATTGTTTTCACCCACTTTCTACTTAGGTAAATAATGTTTCTCAGAATTTGTATGCATAAAAAGTGAGATGAAACACCTGCTCATGCTGACAAAATGACATATCAAAGAAATTCCATGGTACCACCATTTCCTTAAGAGATGCTGTGATAAGCCGTATAACTGGCCTCGACTCTTCTCATTCCTTTCTTTTCCCTGAAATGTCGCAGTTCTTCCTGCCACAGGAGTGGAGTTTATTACTGAACAAGAAAACATTGCTCTTCATAATCTCACACTGCTCTCAGTTCTTCACCTCTGATGCCTGCTACGAGTTTTCTTCACCTCCGTCAGCTGAACCCTAGCTAGATGTTTTGTGATTCACCTAAAGAGAGAGATGAAATTAGGTACTAGAAGTCAGGACTTATTAAACTGTTGCTACTTCTGGTGTTAATCACAGCTCCACATCATCAGTTCTGAAAGATCAGCTGTAAATCAGAGATCTTCCTTCTTCCTTCTTCTCTGTGTGTGTGTGTGTGTGGGGGGGTGTTGGGGGTTGGGAGAGGTATGCCCACATGTATGTATGCAGGTGGAGCACTGGCCCATGGTTTCCCAGAGGTTGACATTAGGCATCTTTCTCTTTCTCTCTCCACCTTGTTTTCTGAGACAGGGTCTCTCCCTGAGCCTAGAGCACCCCTTGGCTAGAATGACTAGATGATGAGTCCTTGGAATTTGCCTGTCACTGTCTCCCTACTCTGGAGTTATAGACATGAGCTTCCATGTCTGGCTTTTTACATATGTGCTGAGGTTCTGAACCCAGGTCCTCTTGCTTACATAGGAAGTATTTTACCCACCGAGTCCCCTCCCCAGCCTAAGTTGTGACACTTTTATCAAGTTTATAATATGCTAGATAAGCTCACAGAGCTAAAGGAAACAGTTTACTTACTATAGTGAAGTTTATAGTGGTCCCTTTATCCACAGTATTTACATTTGAAGATGCCCTAGTTGATACCTAAAACTATAGATAGTACAGCAGTATGTTTATTCTTATCCATTTGTACATATGATTATATTTGATTTATAAATCAGATGTGATAAAATAACCACAATAACATAAAATAGAACATTTCTAACAATTATAACAGTATTCTGTAAGACATGTTGTATAAATGTGTTTTCTCTCTTCTCTTGAAATATATTACTGTATTGTGCATGCCCTCTTTAGAATTCCGTGACATGATTCAGTATTTCCATGATTGATAGTGTGAAAATAAAAGGGAAACAATGACAAAGCACCACTGAAAGAATTTTCTGAAATAGAATCACAAAACTATGATGTAGCAGATTTTTTTAGGATTTAGATGTTGCCTAAGGTCTTTGGTCATTTCTATCATTGGATCTAAGACATCTGACATTGTGTCTAGATGCTCAAGATGCTTATCAAAAGGTTATTGGACTCTCGTTTATGGACCATTCTGTCAGTCACTGGCCTCTTTCCTTCTAACACTCAATA